AAAAAAAAAAAAAGAATAGCCATGCCCAATGGAAAAGCAAGACCACGATATGGCACAACCCAGAGAATGCCCAGCCTGATGGGTGGAAGCAGGCTCTGAACATGTGGAACTTAGGCCAGATGTTAGCTCTGGAAGGGCCCAGCTGTCTGGAAGCTCCTCCCCTTACCTGGGAAAGACTTACCCCAGGTTACTGCTTCAAGACTCTTTTGCATAAGCACAACTCAAATAAATGCACCTTTCCAAAATAGAATAGTGTTTATTATAAACCTAGAATACAGAAAGATAAATGACAAACATGGACATTTGTCAGATAACTTAGAATTCTCACAAGGCATATAAAATAGGTTTAGAGACGCTATTTCCAAATTGTTTTAAAATGCCCAATATCAAAAGGGTCAGATGCATGGCATCTAAGTGCTCCAACAAGATCACCCAGACTGGCCTCCGCCCTTCCCAACACATGGAGGGAAAGCACCCTGCTCATGCCTGGCTGAAGGCAGAGCAGAGAAGACACTTACTTCTTACTGAATTTGGGGCTCTGGACTCTACCCAGGGGCACAAAAGAACTGGGATCATGACATTTTCTTCCTCATACACAGCTTGATGGAACACAAACAGCCACAGGATGGAGAAAACAGCCAGGCCTACAACTTGCTTACTGCATGAAAACAAGCAGCTCTCTTTGCCTGCACTTCACTGGACATACAAATGCTGGCACACTGCAGCCTTTCCAGAGTAAGGAAGAAAGAGAAGAGGAATCAAGAGTGACCCATTTTATTTGGAGACACAGTCAGGTCCTCTGGATGGTGGGATTCATACTGTGGGAGGTGCACTGTATTCTTATCTGTGTCAGTGTACAAGATGGTATGTGGCCACATAGCTACAAGCAATAGGGTGGAACACTCTTGGCTTTGTCAACAAACAAGGCAATCAAGGGAGCTCACTATGGGTAACCCATTGAAGAAGTGTCCCTGCTGACACTGCCCTGGTGACCCAGTCCCAGAGCACATATCTGATGGATTTCACAGAGGCCAGAATCACATACTGGGCCCCATAGAACTGAGGTGTGCTTCCAGAGATCTTGGTGGGTGGAAACAAAAAGCAGTCCAAGCTTCTTAGGGGACTGCTCAGGGGTCTTGGGGGACTTGTCACTACTCAAGTTAGGGCAGAGGCTTGGAAGAATCAATGATTCAGATGAGAGGAGGCCCCATTAGAGAATCAGGCTTGAAATGGGATACCCTGCTGGGATCAGCCTGCTTTCCCATCTGTCTTGCAGAGGAGGGAGGATATGGGGTAGCAATGAGGTACCAGCTGGCCCATAGTTCCTATAGTGGTCACCATGTAATCTTAGAGAGGCCAGCTGTCTCCCAGAAGAGCCAAGGCACTTCTTTACCACTTCTGGTGTTAAAGGAATGCCAGGAACACAGAGGCAGCTACTACTTGATCTCCACATCCTATTTTCCAAATGAAGAAAGTGACGCTGCAGGTGTATGAATGGCACAGAGGTGGCTTGGTTGGTCCTCTAATTACTCCCAGCTGATCCTGTTCATCACTGACCTGGCCATTTGTAGCCATTGGTTCCATGCAGGACCTAAGATGTGGTATTCATACAATGTCTGGTTGCTACAGATGTGCTGGCAGCTGGTATCTCTAGGAATGAAGAGGCATGTAGATCACAGATTCACCCAAAAACAGAACAGGCACGGGAGCACAGACAGGCAGATGGATGCAGGCATCTGCAGGGTCCCTGAGGCATCTTCAGGGCAAAGACAGGGCCTTGGCAAGGCGGGTCCAGAACCAAGACTTGGTGCAGGGGTTGGTGTAGTCACAGACTGTGATGAACCGTAGGATGCTGGGGAACTCCTTCTTCATTGCCTTGTACTTAATGGGGATCAGTCGTTTTTGATGCACACCTGCAAACCAAGAGGTACAGTGCTGGTACCAGGATGTAATGAGGCAGTCTCAGTCCCCAACCCAAGGAATAACACCAGATCTTTCTCAGCTAGGTAGTATCACAAAAAGAGACACATAGATACACCACACACGTGCTTAGATACACAGATACACCACACACTTGCTTGAATACACAAAGGTTCTTTGGTGTTAATTCTGTGGCCCTGAGGGAGAGAAGGTTGGCATTTTAAGGCTCCATCTAAGCACTCCTCTCTGGTCAAGGTGGGTTGAGCTTACCTGGAGAGAGGCTAAGAGCAAACTTGGTCTGGAAGTCACATTCCTTGCTCTGCAGGTAGTCATCTGAGACAACCACCACCATCCGGCGGCACCTATGAGAAAGTGGGCAGGCTACAGACTCTGTGGTAACCCACTTCAGCATACCTCTATGGGGACAGCCTCTGGGGGTCTCTTTTGCTAGGGCAGGCAAAAAGAGCCCAGTATTTGTTCCCCTGGGCTTTAAACACACCCACCTACCCCCTGGACTTCTACTTAACCTCTTCTCAATGAGCTCACTGGCGATGGACCAGACACAGGTGCCTGGAAGGACATCACGGTCAGACACACACAGTTTCAGCCGATAGTCTGTCTGCTCCAGTTGCCGTATCATCTCTTGCACAAACTGGATGTCACTAGGGCAGTAGCAGATGAAGGCATCGAAACGCTCTGGCACTTGGCCTGTGTATAGAGCACAAAAGTGATGGCCAAAGCTCATAGGATCCTGGGGAGGGGACCAGCCAGGATTTGCCCACCTAGGCAACCTGGTCCTGGTCCTGGCACCCATCCCAAGATGAGGACACACACACAAAAAGCACCTTCCCCATTGGAAGAAAGATGAACCCTCCTAGGGCCAAGCCCTGAGTTAGCCATGACTCAGAAACATCCATTTCATGAGAGTCTCCAAGCAATTCAGAGGTAGGACTATTACACCATTTCCTATGTGTGGAAACTTAGGCTCAGAAAAAGTTAAGTGATTTGCCCAATGTACCACAGCTCATCTGTTTGTATCATCTGTGTTCTGTGTACTGCCCTGTGCCTTACCCAGGGGGTCATCAAGTGTGGTGATGCCAAAAGGCTCTTCTGTCCGTGGGACGCTGCTGTCCACTCTGGCCACTTGTAAGGGCTTCTCAGACTCCTCCTGCTGCTGCCTCAAAATGTACTTTTGGCAATCCTTCTCTGGGGAAGAGAGGGTGAGTCAGTCTTCTGAGAAGGCCCTAATTCTCCACCCAGGGCTTTGCAAAATACTTTCTCTGTACTCTATGGGAGTTCCAAATTGCCTCGGTCAGGAGGCAGCCCTAGTACCACCTCCCACCTTCTGGGACACTGGTCTCTTCTGTGACTTTGACAAGCTGTGACTTTGACAAGCTAAGCACATCTGCCCCTTTTCCCCAGGGCTTGGATCCTCCCCAAAGGATGTCAGTGGTGTTATGGTCATTTGGGAAACCACTGGGGCGAGGCTTGTGTGTCTTGTATTCCTTTGTCCTGGTGCCCCAGGAAGATCCAGGAGCTAGGACAGATGTGAGCAATGGGCTAGGAAAAACAAGGACAGGTTTATGTCACAGTGAGGGAAGTGACCTCTAACCAGTAAGATGCACCTATATGTGGGGGTGGACTTCCCGCTCAGGTACTTTGGTAATGTCAGCGAGGGGCAGAAGGGGTCGCATTTCCTGAGCACCTGAGTCTTCCTAGAACGCAGGCTTTATTCCCTTACCTGACCTGTTGCTGTGCCTGATGTAGCTCTGATGTCCCAGAGAAGCCTGATTCTGACTCCTGGCCCAAACCAAAAGCCTTTGCCAAAGCTCATCCCTTTCCTTCCCCCATCTCCCGGTCCTTTCCAGACAACTAAAGGACAGCACAGCCACCCACCCCCACCCCTCGTCCCTTCTCCGGAAGGAGGATCTGTGCCCGCGAGACTGGCTGCTGAGGCGGGTGAGCTCAGTCTACCCTGCCCTGCTACAAGGCCAGAAAGCGAGTGTTCTCACCGATGCTGGGCCCCAGCTCCATCAGCACGTCTTTGCGGTCCAGCTCCGCGAGCAGCTCGAGCAGCCGGCCCACCGACGCGCCGGAGCGCCCCTGCCAGGCGTCTAGCAGGCTGCCCGTGGGATCGAGGCGCGATTCCAGCTGTTTGATCTCCAAGTAGTCGAAGCCCACCACCTCTGCCAGCACCGACCAGTCGGCTGCTACCTGGGTCCTCACATTCAGGAACTGCGACAGGCGGCGGCGCACTCGCACGTTGAGCGCAGCGAGGGGCAGGGAGGACATGGAGATGGCGGGGGGCGCAGAGTCTTCGCCAGGGACGGGGACGCACGAAGCCATGGTGGCCCAGTACCTCTGGTCGCGTTGCCTGCCTGGCGGCTTCCCCTTCCTCTGCGGCTCGGCTCGCCCCGCCCGCTTTCGCTTTCCGAGAAGCGCCGCCCCACGCGGGGTGCCGAGGTGGGGCTCTTGCTGCTGCCTTCGAGGACCGCGGATAGCGGTGTGAAAACCTCTGTCCTGTCTTTTGAGGTTTGGGAAAGTCGATTGACCTACCCCCTAGGGAGCTGGTGGTGGGGTTGAAGTTGGCGCAGGGGAGAGGGCGCTGTAGGAAACCCGTCTAAGGCCTCCCTGAGGCTCCTCCGCTGTAGTTGGATCCTGCCAGTAGGGAGGGAGAGACCAGCTGTGCACCGGGGAGCGGAATGAAAAGGGGCACATAGACATCTGGAATCTGGGCTCCCACGGATGGGATTCACAGGGTAACCTTTCTTTCCAGGTCTCGTTTAGTCCTAGAAGTAATTTCCAGGGTCTCGGGTAAACACATGGCCATGCCCCTGGGAATGGAAGGCACCTAGTTTTGCAGTCCAGATCTGGGAGCCGCGGTTCGTTCACTCATTCAACACAAATTTATTAATCATTTTACAAATTATTTTACTATTATTTTTAATTATTATTAATCATCTTACAGGCACCCAGACACTGGGTGTCCTTTGCCTTCCCCTAGTGGGGAAGGTGAGCACAAGTCAGACTACCTCGGTGGGTATAAAATTGGTGTAAGAAGGGTAAGTCTCTTCAACGGAAGAAAGTAATTTTGCAAAATTCTTTCTCCCCGCTGTCCGATAGTCCTAAATTGCCTCCCGAGAGAAGGGCTTTCTCTGGAATAGTGACTCCTTCAGAGCAAATCTCGGCATGTAAATGTATTTAGGTCCTAGGGCTCAGGTCCTGGGGCCCGGGGCCCTGTGGCGCGGAAGAGGAAGGGGAACGGGAGCTGGAGTCCCGACCACCTTCAGCATCCACTACAACAACCCTTGCGCAGAGGTACTGGCGGCCCACGCGTCCATTTGGCAGCTGGCGGTGGGCAGCACTTTGGCGGAGAGCTCCGAGGTTTTGGTAGGGCTCGGGTCGAGTTCCCTCTCAGATTCCCAGGCTAAAAGGGTCTGCCTTCAGTTTGGCAACAAAAGATTGTGAAAGAGGCGGAAATTTTCTAGGCGGGGCTTATGAGAGGTTCATCCTCTGATTGGCCCCGGAAGGCCACGGAGTAGGCGGGATTTTAAGTGGAAAGAGCTAGGCAGATCTGCGAGCTGAAGTGGGGGGCGGGTTCTCAGGGAGTTCTTTCTTCTGGTTGGCTATAGAAGAGGGGGGCGGGACCTCTTCCGCAGGGCTGTTCTCTTAGGCCCTGATCGCGGTGTTTAGACGTTCGCGAGGGGAGCTATCTGCGCTTGCGCGATTCGGGGCTTTTCTTTCAGACTTTCTGCGCTCTAAACTTGGATCCCGGAATGCTCAGCTCCGCCAGCGGTGCGAGGTGGAGGCTGCAGGTAGTGCTGGGCCACCTGAGCGGTCGGCCCCAGTCGGGGCCGGCGCTGCAGGCCGAGCCGTGCCTCAGCAGTTTCCCCTCGGCCTCGGCCGCGGACGTGGTGGTGGTGCACGGACGCCGCACAGCCATCGGCCGAGCGGGCCGCGGCGGCTTCAAGGTGAGATCCTGGGCCGCGCGCCGGGCTGAGAGGAACCGTGCGGGCGTGGGTCGTCCACTGCTTGGGCCAGGTATGGGAGCCAGGCTCATCCGGCTGCGTCCCGCTGCAGGACACCACTCCCGACGAGCTCCTGGCTGCCGTCCTGACCGCGGTTCTCCAGGACGTGAAGCTGAGGCCTGAGCAGCTGGGAGACATCTCCGTGGGTGAGCCCGCCACCCGCTCTCCTTCCTCCCGAGCCCACACTTCCCTGCTCCTCATACACTTCCAGAACTAGTTTTCACACAAAGGACGGGAAATGCACTCCACTGTCTGAGGTCCTTTCCTGGCAACCAGTCACCTCACCTCAGACATTTTATGCCTCTTGCATGTGTATTCTGACTATTAGCAGAAACATCAGTCTGTTAGCTCGCAAAAGCAGGAATCGTAAGTGCTAACATTCTTATACCCAGGGGTTTCCAGACAATCTAGGAGGCAAGAGGCAGGAGGCAGATTTTCTACTACAACATCTTGTGTATGCAAAAAGAGAACGTCAAAAATCCTCCAGTGCAACAGCTCACGTACAGATGGAGAAACTAAGGATCAGCCAAGTTTCCCTCAAGCTGAGATGTGAACCTAGCTTCAGTCCAACCTCACTTCTTACCTGACTCCTGTTCCTTGAAATATATCCACATAGTATAGACCACAGATTTATTTACAGAAGCTGGCTTGGGAATCGTGGGTTTTCCTCTAGTAAGCTGGGAGGAGGATACATGGTTGAAGTCTACATTCAGAATGTCATTTCCCTCAAAAGCTTTGCCTTGTAAGGTTCCTCTTTCTTAAAGCCTTCTAAGCCCCAACTGTGAAAGGCAGGTCACCTGTCCTATCTCTGCTGATTTAAAGAGCAGGGTGCAAGAGCAAGCAAGTTTGAGATCCTTTGCTACTGGGGCTGGTGTATGACAGCACAAGCTGTTAAGTCACTCTGCTTGAGACCCTGAAGTTCTAGGGCCTCAAGTGAGCTTGTGGGAGGCTCAAGTTCCTGAAGAAAGACCCAGAATGTGTCTGTCCTCTCTGGTACTTGTAGCTGTCCTGTACTACTGAGAACACCACCTGGTGCTAAATGGTTTTTTTTTTTTTGTTGGTTTTGTTTGTTTTTGTCCATAGGAAATGTGCTTCAACCTGGGGCTGGGGCCATCATGGCCCGGATTGCTCAGTTTCTGAGGTAATTCTTTTTCTTTCTTTCTTTTTTTTTTTTTTTTTTCTTCTGGCTATAGGTTAGCCTTTGTATCTCTCATCTCTTGTATCTCTTAAGTGGGTTCTGGGAACAGAGAATTCAGTCTATAGGTGATGAAGGTGGAGGATTAGGTTAGATACCAGACATTGAGGTAACTAGAGTCCTTTCAACCCTGCTTTTATGGACCTGACCTTTCCTCTACTTTGGGGGGTACTCTGCTACCCTGCCCAGAAGGGAGACACATAGGGCTTTGGAACTAGAGCAAAGGTTTTCTCTGCCTTTGGTAAGGGTGGACTCTGCCCTCATTGGCAGGTAAATAATCCCACAAATAAGATGAACCATGTTCCCGTGCAAGTTAAACATGCTGGGAACTCTAGTCTCATCCCATCAGCAGAGGCTTGGGCATAGGGCAGAATCCAGATGGAAGCAAGAAGATGGACGTCGGGGGGAGCCTTAATCATCTTGCTCTTCAGCACTTGTTCTCCCAAGATAGGGAAGCAGTGTTTAAGCTATTTTAACACATGACTTTACACTTCCATCTGAGTGGAGTAGAAATAATGTAGTAACATTAGCCAGGGACAGAATAGAGGACAAAAAAACCCTAACTGAGCAAGACGCAGACTTTATGGTGCAGTTCAAGGTCTCCCTTGGTGTATAGATTTACCTTCTCAGTTCATAGCCCAGCTGATTACTCACCTGGACGTTTCCTCCATTGATCAGCCTGTCAGCCTATTATATCCCTACACTGTTCATTCTGCCCCTTGGGGTACTGTCCCCATCTTTTGACTTTGCGCCAGCTAAATCCTGTCTAACCATAGTCTTACTGTTTGGGCATGGCTTCCTCAAATTCTCAGGCTTTAGATGACAGACTTTCTGCTCCAGTAGCTATCTGTGTACTTCTCTGTGATGGGGCTGTGACATTGGCCCTGCTACTGCAGTCCCAGTTAGTGGATTCATTTTCCTTGTATTGGTTAGGCTTCTCGTGGGGCTCAGTACTGTGAGCATTTGAGTATCCCTCGGGTGGTGCTTCATGTGTTGTAGGTATGGGTGAAAACCAGGGGGAGTTAGATGGTCTAGGAGATGATCCATCTGGGAGGCCCTCTGTAGAACCTGGCCCCACCTCTGGCTCAGGGTTTCCCAAGCCTGGCTGCACACCAGAATCACCAAGATGCATTCATTCCCAGAGGCTCTGAGTGGGTTTAAAGAAACCTAGAACCATCCCCAGGGCTTTGCACGGCTGGTTAGGGCAAGTTAAGTATCCTGAAGGATAGCCCTGCCAGCTTCCATGACTGGGCTCCATGTAAGCTTTTGGGGAACCCCAGGGAAGAGGTGTTGTAAGAGTAGTACCTATCAGAGCTACTCCTGCAGATGGGAACATAAAGGATCAGCTGTGGTAGGACACTAAGATTGAGGGAGTAGAGATGTTTGGGGGGGTTGTTTGTTTGTTTTTCTTTTTTTGAGCTTGTTACAGCTCTGTTTTTTGAGGAAAATGGAGTAGTTTTCATTGTTGTATCTTTAGAGGGAAAGATGAAATGATCCCTGAGGCCAAGACAGGCCTCCCTTGCCTTAGGTTGGCTGGGAGACATGTGCTTTTGAGGCTCTCAGGAAAACATCATCTTCAGAGATAAGGTCTGCCCAGAGTTGTCCACCATAAGCTCCATGGATCGGCCTGGTATGGGGCAAAACTACCAGGTTAGACTAGGCCTGATGACATAGACCTATAGTCACAGCACTCTGAGTAACTGATGCAGGAGGATCTCAAGTTCAATGTGGATTTGGGCAATTTGGCAATTTAGTGAGGCCATTTCTCAAAATAAAAAAGGAGCTGGAGATGTAGCTCAGTGCAAAGGCCTGGGGTTCTGTCCCCAACACTGGTGAAAAATGGTAGTTCCCCTAGTCTGTGTACCCCCCTCATGAGGACAGTGGTGTGGCCCAACGTATAGGCCTGTTTTCTCTGAGGGACTGGCAGGGCAGGGAACTGACTGCCATCTCCCTTCTGTTGCAGTGGTATCCCAGAGACTGTGCCTTTGTCCACTGTCAATAGACAGTGCTCGTCGGGACTGCAGGCAGTGGCCAACATAGCTGGTAAGTTGTGGGTGGCTGGCACCAGTGGTTATGGCCTGGCCTTGCTGCTGATTCCACAAGTTTGGGTCCATAATGTTGCCACTTAAGCCACATTAGGCATTTCCTCCAGGACGTCTGAGCACTGAAGGAATGCAGGAGCAGACCTCGCCACTGCCCCACGTCTTTTCTGGATCTTCTGGGTCTTTGTCTCTTAGGCTGTGCTGAGTTGCACAGAGATATCTGGTGGGGCTGGGAATGGTGGTGCATGTCTGTAATACTAACACTGGGGAGGCTGAGGCAGGAAGATCGCCACAAACTTGAGGTCAGCCTGGACTACTTACTGAGACCCTGCCTCAAAACAAAAGCAATAGAAAGCAGGTGGGGTAGGGACCTTGCTGCTCCCAGGACAGATGCCCTATGGCCAAGGATGGTTATGAAATGCTTTTGTTGCAGGTGGCATCAGAAATGGGTCTTATGACATTGGCATGGCCTGTGGGTAAGAATTCTTTTTGCTGGTGTTTATTAACCAACTGTGATCATGAAACTAACTCTCTTTTCCTCAGCTTCCTGAGGTGGTGATTTCAGGGTTCTCCACTAGCTCCTCTGGACGCTGACAGGGAGTTGGTTCACACTAATGTAGCCCAGAAGTGACCCCAGTGTGAGCTTCTCAGGAAAGGCTCACATGTGGACACCAGCAGGGAGGGATAGTTGCTCTTTGCTCTTTTTCTTAGAAACCTGTTAGGCTGGAAATGTGGGCAAGCACACTAAAGAAAGAGAGCTCTTGTGTTCCTTTAAGAGTGTAGTGGCAGTTTTGGTTCCCTTAAGCCAAGGACAGATTCCTACTTATAACTGTTTGTTTTATGAAGCTATCTGTCCCCAGTCCCTGCCCCTGTCTCCAGGTGGATACATCTGAGTGTCTGGACATACTGTAGTTGGATCTCTGATGAGTTGGTCACCACCACCTCCACTCAGCTCTGTCTTTGCTGGCAGCATTTGGCAGTGCCTCTAGAAAAGGGAGAGCCCTGGGGCCTAGGCTGGAGCATCTGATGTGAGCCAGATGGGCTCAGGGGGTGGGAATCTGGGATGTGATGTGTCGAGGTTCTTGACAGGAAGCACTGCTAGCCCCTAACCAGCTCATGGGTATGTGGCCCTGGGATGTCTGACCTATGCCTCATTTGAAGAACAGCCATGAACAGGGACTCTGGCAGGACAAAGTTCAATGTCTAGCCTGACCTTTGATGTCTCTCGTGTTCTTGTCTTGGGCGGGGGGGAAGAGCAGGTGTGCATGGCTTGGGAGGGGCTGAAGCCTGCATAAAACTTCCATAGGGGGCTTCTGATTCCCCAGCAGGTTGAGAGCCAGTAGCCGGGTTATTATGGAGCTGGGCTAGGAGAGCACAATCTGATGGTCCCCCTTAGGTTCGGCAAGCAGTGTCATCCACAAGTCCAAGGTGGGAGTAAGTGCTGGGGCATACAAAAATAGGGTTAGAATGGGTAACTGTGAACAAATTCCTTACCAATGAGGACATAAGTGTCCTCATCTATAAAAGGGTTTACTTAGCTCAGCTCTGGCCAGATTTATAAGAGGATTCAATGGAGCCATAATCACATCGAGCACCATGGAGCATGCATCATGTGACTGACCCTGTTTTAATGCACTCATGCCTACAAAGAGTTAAAACTAGTGCTGGGGCCAGAAACCTGGACCTACTCAGGCCAGGTCCCCGGGTGTCCTTCTCGAGGCCATATGTCCTGCCTTTCTCTTGTCTCCCTGCAATGGCCATCTTCCTCCTCTCAGCCCTTGCAGCTCATATCTTTGCAGACTCTTCATTGTGCTTACTTTAAAGACATTTGTCTCAGCTGGGGATGGTGGCACATGCCTGTAATCTCAGCATTCTGGGAGGCTGAAGCAGGAGGACCTCAAGTTTGATCCTGGCCTGGACAATGTAGCAATTCAAAGAGACTCTGTAACAAATTAAAAATAGAAAAAGGGCTGGGACTTTAGTTGAGTGCAGAGGCCCTGGGTTTAATACACAGTATAAAAAAAGAAAACAAAATATTACTTCTCTTTTCCCTCTGTAATTGAGTGCCCTAAGGGAGGGCCTGGGCCTATTGGCTGTGTTCCCTATACTAGACTCCGGGAGGCTTTCCCCAGGAAGTAGCAATTGGCTGGATAAGCAGTCATGCAGGGAAGTATGACACTGCCCCAGGGTGTGTGGCCAGTGTGCCCTCCTGGGCCAGGTGGAAGGAAGTAAAGACAGGTTTCCGCTGCACTGCAGCCCCAGCTCTGCATTGCCAGGCGTGTGCCCTCCCAAGCCTCCCAGACTGCCTGCTAGAGTACTTGAGGGCTCTGTGTGTTCAGCCATCCCTGAAGGTTCCTATGAAAATTCCTCTTTCTTCTCCTCAGGGTGGAGTCTATGTCCTTGGCCGAGAGAGGGAACCCTGGAAATATTACTTCACGCCTGCTAGAAAATGAGAAAGCTAGAGATTGCCTGATACCCATGGGGTGAGTTTGCAGCATCATCTCCATGTGCCATGCCCCTCAGCACTCTGTACATCCTAGAGCAGGATACTAGAACTTTCTCATCTTTGTGGCTGGCAGTGCCAGGCCTTCACTTGCTTCCTTTGGGTGTCATCTGCCCTGGGTGTGGCTCTTGATTCTGCCCTTGGCTTTTATCTCCTGATGCCCTCAAGTGGTCTCTGAGCCATTGAGTTTTCAAACACAGCCTATCCTATCTTACCCTCTGAAATACCCATTCATGTGGAGGATGATGGCAGCTGGTCCCTAAAGTGTCGGAAGCAAAGAAAGTAGAAAAGAAGGGTTTTAATTCTTGATTGTCTGAGTAAGAGGCCTTGGGCACTGTCAGGTGTAGCATGGCAAATGTGCCACCCGCAGTACCCATAGGCAGGATGTCCTGGATCCAGTGGGAGTGTGAAGAGACTGAGGTTCAGAGAGAGCAGTGTCTTGGCTTCTCCATATACTGGCCTCTGGTTTTCCAGGCTGCAAGGCCTAGCTGTGGCTCTGGGCTCTTAGGATAAGGTAAACAGAAGGCTAAAGTGCATCTGTTCCAGCGGGGACATGGACATCCTCATCTTCACATATAAAGGCACTTGTCCTCCAGGTATAGAGGTACTTAATTGTGTAGCTAGTGAGCAGCAGCAGCGCTCCTCTAGGCCCTCCTACCCATCTCCTGTGCTGAGGCAGCTCGCTGGACAGATTCCCTCTGTACTGTATGCACATGGGCTGCCTTTCTCTTGGTGAGGGTGTCTGTCTTTGGGGTATAAGTCTCTGAGGATGTGGCCAGCATTGGTGACTCCCTGCCTATCCCCACACACATACTGTGGCCGGGAGTACTACCTCCTGAGTCCTCACTACTGTCGCTGTGCATGGACCAGCCCTCCTTCCCTGTGGCCCTGGGTATCCCGGCCTTCAGGCTGCCAGATCCACACATGCTGATTTGCCTTTTGTGTCCTAGGATAACCTCAGAGAATGTAGCTGAGCGGTTTGGAATTTCCAGGGAAAAGCAAGATACCTTTGCGCTGGCCTCCCAGCAGAAGTAAGTGCTGTTTGGACCATGAAAGGGCTGGAGAGTGAGGTTTTAAAGCCATCCTAGGTGATGTGAGGTGGAGTTGTCAGGAGGAAATGGCTCTGAAGGAGGGCATGGTAGGCTTCATGCCTTCCAGCTGGAAGTGGAAATGGGCCATTGTGGAGCTTGATGGCTTTTCTAGGTCCTTTAGCTGACTACCCGTACTAATGTCTTCTTCATGGCTGGGCTTCACTTCCCCATCTGTTCTATAAGGGCCATAACGAGGGCCAGGACTCCTTTCTAATTGATAGTGGCTTGGTGACTGGTCATGATAGCCACTGGCTTCTCTAGGAGCCTGGAGTGGGACCTGAGGCCTGCTAGGGCCTCCCAATCCTCTTATGGTCTGGAGCAGTCCTGGGTCTGGGGAAGTAGCCTGAGACTGGGGCTTGGGCTGAGAGTAATTCAGGGGCTCATGCCTTTGGACGGCAGCAGGCACATTAGCCAGCCTCAGCCTCGCAGAGAATAGATGGCAAAAGAAGTGAGGTGCTGAGCCAGATGGGCCTCTCCCAGGCAGGGATCCTTAGCCTTCTGGGGTCGGGTAAGCATTGAAGCATTTTCTGGAAGCTTTGGGCTCCTTCTGCTAGAATTTCCCTGCGTGTTCAAGATCACAAGGGCTACCCCAACATGCCTTCTGCTTCACCACTCTTTAGATATGAAAATACATCAAAGAGGTCAGTGTACAGCAACCTAAATTTGGGGACTGGGAATGTGTAAAATTTGAATGCTAAGGTCCAACAGGAGAGTGAAGACTGATACTCATGTCACTTCAGGCTCAGTGTATCAGAAACCATTGAGCAATCTGAGCCCTGTGTGGATAAAAGGCTTTAAGGGGAATGGGCACCACCTCCAAACTTTCTTCCCTGTGAGGATGGGAATAGCCTTGATGTGGTTATCTGACTGATCCCAAGGAAGTCCCAGAAAGCCTTGAGTGTGCCTCCCCCTCATGGGGACAGGCTGGGGTTCTGGGGAACCTCCAGAAGTCCCTCAGCATCGCCTCAGGCCAAGAATGTCCCTGAATTTAGCAGCGTGAGGTTGTGTATCTGCTGGAATTAGCAAAAAGCAAGGTCAGAGAAGAAGGGAACCCCAGAGGAGGCTGAGCCTGGCTGTCAATGGTGCTTGCAGGGCAGCGAGAGCCCAGAATAGGGGCTGTTTCCGGAATGAGATCGTGCCCGTGACCACCACCATACAGGATGACAAGGGCACCAAGAAGAGCGTCACTGTGTCCCAGGATGAGGGCATCCGCCCCAGCACCACCATGGAGGGCTTGGCCAAGCTGAAGCCTGCCTTTAAGGAAGGTGGCTCCACCACAGCTGGTAAGCCTGAGCGGGGTCCACGGTGGGAGGCTTGAGCAGACCAGGCCCCATGACAAGGTGGTCATAGACCTGGTTCTTCTCAGCCTCACCCTAATGCCTCCTCACTCCAACTGTTTGCCCCTAGGAAATTCTAGCCAGGTGAGCGATGGGGCAGCTGCCATCCTGCTGGCCCGGAGGTCCAAGGCAGAAGAGTTGGGCCTCCCTATTCTTGGTGTCCTGAGGTCCTATGCAGTTGTTGGGGTTCCACCTGACATCATGGGCATTGGACCTGCCTATGCCATCCCTGTAGCTTTGCAAAAAGCAGGTAAGGCAGCTCTGTCATACCTTATTTAGTGTACCCCTCTTTAGTGTACACTGGGGCTTGTGGGTGCTGCACAGTTAAGGCGGACCAGGCTCTCACCTCATTCCCAAGCCTCTCTGACCCGACAGCTAGGAACCACTCACCCTTCCAGCAAACAGACACACTGGCCATGGGGCAGGGCCCAGGGAGGCCCCAAGTTCTCAGAGGCTGCTGCTAGCTTAGGTCTGTACCTTGCCTGCAGGGCTGACAGTGAATGATGTGGACATCTTTGAGATCAATGAGGCCTTTGCAAGCCAGGTGAGCCTTGTCTCTCACCATTTTCTGGGCCTGGGCAGCATTGGGGGAGGAAACAATCAAGCCTGGTACTGGGTAGGACACAGGCAGGTAGGACACAGGAGGGATCAGCTGCTACTCTGGCTCCTTCCAGGCTGTCTACTGTGTGGAGAAGCTGGGCATCCCCCCTGAAAAGGTGAACCCTCTAGGGGGCGCAGTGGCTCTGGGCCATCCCCTGGGCTGTACTGGGGCTCGACAAGTCATCACACTCCTCAACGAGCTGAAGCGCCGTGGGAAGAGGTAAGGTTACACCTTGTGGGATGTCTGGATTTAGGGAAGTCAGGGAGGTGAACATGTACACACATCACTGAACAGAGGCTGCAAGGGTGCAATGCCTGCCCTTACAAGGGCCATGCTCATAAGCAATCCTAGACCACAGAGGGCGTTTGCTACTCTGATGATGGCTAGGTGGATGGTAGGGGCACTTTCCCTTGGATCTAGTCCGAGGTTTTGCATCTTCTGTATCCAGCAAGCCTTGGTCCTTGCAGTTCAGCCTGGTTGGGGTGTTGGACACTGGGCCGCTGCCCAGCCAATGCAATTTTGTTTCCCCAGGGCTTATGGAGTGGTATCCATGTGCATCGGGACCGGAATGGGAGCTGCTGCTGTCTTCGAATACCCTGGGAACTGAGGTCCTGGCTAGAGGCACTAGCCAGAAAGTCCTGCTGTGGTGGCCAGCCAGAGAGGGACACTGCAGAAGCTGATCCATGTGGGACATTCAGCAATGGCGAGGGGGTGGGGGGAGCAAATCACATCACTTTAGCTGATTGCTAATTTGGACAGAAGGAACACTATAATACAGTACAGGACTGGGTGGTGTGTTGAGCTGACCCAACATACTCCAGTAGCTGTGTGAAAGTCTAGGGGATCACCCAGGCCACAGACCATCATGTAACTTTTGGGGGATGGTGGCTTTGTGAGTGATGGGTGTAATGGATGTAGAAAATGTGTGATCTCATCTTGGTGGCTGTGTTTTTTTTCCAAGGGTCAGCTTTTGCCTTGCTGGGCTTCTCTGTGCTCTACTTCAGCAATGGAGGTTAGAGACAGGAACATGCGTACACATGGCTCTGAACTGAGGCTCTAAGGGCGTTATCTCTACCTACCCTGAGGGCCAAACTCAAGAACAATCCAAACCCAAGCAATACTGCCCTGCACAGGCTGTCTGCTACCCTGAGTGTGTATCTAATGACTTAATTGTCATGATCTCCAAGGTGGAATGGTTTGCCCTTTGTGTTAGCTCTAGGAACATTGACGTAGGCCTAGGCTGAGAATATTGCTCTGGAAAGGGCTACACATTCCCAGGAGCCGCTCAGAGCCTCCTAGTCTGTGTCTCGACCCAGAAGACATCTCTGCCCAGGTCGTGTTTATCCCCTCACCTGGGCTGGGGCTGAAAGGTGGGCAGAGCCTCAGTGCTGGTGTCCTATCACGTATCCCCTGTCCTGTGTCCTTGGCTCAGCAGCTGCGAGGTGCAGGGCTCCTCATTAAGCATGTCTTCCACCACCAGTGTGCCACGTACAGCTCAGTGCTCCCGAGCAGCATGTGCACAGTGCCAGGCAGGCCAGGAGGCAGTGTATGGTGGTGAAGAGCACCTGTAGGGTGGTGGAGGCTGGGGATGCTCCAGTCAGTGGGGCCTCCAGCAAGCAGCTCACTGGGAGAATGTCTGAAGGCCTCAGCCTCCTTGTCCACCTCCTGCTGTCCTCATGAGGGAAGAGAGGACAGGCTCCAGCAACTCTGTGTGTTGTCTTAGAAGCCTCCTCCTTCCCCTCCCCCACCTCCCCTGCTGCTGCTATGGGAACACAAATGTGTTGGACTGGGATGTGCTCCACACAAGATGGGACTTGGACTTCTGGCTCCCAAAGATAGTGCTGTGGACCTAGGTCAAAAGATTTACCCAAGGCACCTATTGGAAGTGAATTTCTGGGGGCTTTATAGGCATGATGGTACACACTTATAATCCCAGCAATCTAGGAGGCCAAGACAGAAGATTAGAAGTGCATGCCCAGCCTGGATGATTTAGTGACTTAGCAACACTCAGAAAAAGTTTGAGGATATAGCTCAGTGCAGAGGCCCTGAACTCAGTCCCTAGTACTGAAAAAAATAACAGATTTAGCTTTGGCTGTGTTTTCTAGACCCTTTGAGGTTGACTGATGCAGTTTCATGTGAGGGGCTGTGATGTTCTGTATTCTTTCCACTTCAGCAACTGATAGTCTCTCCAGCTGATACTTGTATTTTAACAAGGTGACTGAGCAGGCTCAGGGTAGAGATTGACTATGAGCTGAAAAGCTAAACGATAAATGTAATAACCTCTCCACATATTTAGAAATTTTAAAACCTTTCTATATGATGGTAAGGGGCCAGCCAAATAGTTCAGTGGGGGGCTGGTGAGATGGCTCAGTGTTATAAAGCACCTACTTAGAACAAGCTTAGCAAAGCACAAGGGACCACAGTTCGATCCCCCAGCACCACATGCCAGCCAGCCCCACCCCCTGGTGGGCTGAGCTGGCCACACACACACACACAATAAATAAATAAATAAATAAATATTTAAATAAATAAATAAAATAAACTTAAAAAAAAATAGCTCAGCGGATTAAAGATCCTGCAAGCAGGCATAAGGCCAGGGGTTCAATCCCCTGGCCTGCCATGCTGTCCCTTCCCCCCGGGGCACACTTCGACAGCAAATGAGACAACTGATGATTGGGCATAATGACACGCACCTGTAATCCCAGCTCTTGGGAGGCTATAAACAGGTGGATCAGTATGAGTCCAATCTAGTAGTAAGACCTTGAACGTCCTATAGACCCTTCCCTAAGAAATACCAAAAAAAAAAAAAAAGCTATGATGGTAGGTCTAAGAAGGAATCACTACAGAAATTAGAAAATACCTGAGTGAATGGTAACAAAAAGATGTGTCTCCAAAAACCTGTGGGTTTGCTCGGTGTGGTGGCATAGTCCTGCAATCCCAGAACTCGGGAGGCTAAGGCAGGAGGACCACTGTAAATCCTAGGCCAGCCTGGTCTACATAGACCCTGCATACATAAATAAGTAAGTAAATACTTTTAAAAAGGAATAGAACAGGAAATAAGTCTGTTACATAAAGAATGAAACGATAGGCCAGACATAGTGGCATATGCTTGTGATTCCAGCACTTGGGAGGCTAAAATATAAGGGTTGCAAGTTTGACACCAACCTGCCCTATATAAACTTTATCTCCAAAAAAGAAATGATAAGAAGCTACAGCCTTGAAGTATATAGCTCGGTGGTAGCGTGGGGGATTTGGATGCAAGAATCTCTGGGTTTGATCACCAGACCCACAAAAGGAAAAAAAAAAAACAAATTCAGGGATTAGTGAAATAAAAAATACAGACAAGAAAAACTGGTTATTTGAAAAGATTATGTGGTCAAAGGCAAAACTACCAGCCAATTTCATTTGTTTTTTATTTATGAGATGAGGGTCTAACTATGTTGCCCCTGTGGTCTCAATCTTCTGGGCTGAATGATGGTCCTGCTTCAGCCTGCCCAGTAGCTGGGACTAAAGGTATGTACCACCACACATGATACTCCTAGTTATTTAAAGCAGGTAAGAAGAAGGTACAAATAAGCAATAATGTGAATTAAGAAGTGCTGTATCCTGTGCAGTTCTTGATATTCCTGGTGGAAAAAGAGCCAGAGGATGAAGAAATAAAAATAAGAGATGAAAGCGGAGGTCAGGTATAGTCCTCTCCCCTGATGGGAGGAGAGGAACTGCTCCACTGCATTACCTAGCTCCCAAATTTCCCTCATTTAAGGATGCTGGTCATTGAATCAGAGCCTAACTCAACCCTGCACAGCCTAAACTCTGAATATCCTCTTTGCAAATAAGGTTCCATCCACAATCCTAGGTGTTAGGATTTAGTATCAGTTGAGGTACACAATTCTAGCTGCATGAGGTTAGTTACTTTCACTCTTCAATGAAAACATTCAAAAATATGCACTTACCACTGAGTATTTTCTAAAGGTTCTGAAAGAGACATTTTCATTTTCCTGTTTTCTAAATAGTGTGTTGCATTTTTTTTTCTGCCTTAACTCACTAGTTATTTAAAAGACTGCTTTATAAGTTCTAAGCGGGTTGGAATCTCCCTCAATTATTATTTTATTTTATTTTTCTCTATTTTTTTCAAACAAAAATTAAAAACTGAACAATACAGAGTAAATTAAAATGCAGAAGTCACCCCCAATCATCATTCATTATTTTCTAAATCTCACTCCCACAGGCAATTGTTACTGATTTTTTTTTTTTTTTTTTTTGTGGTACTGGGAATTGAACTCAGGATCTCATTGTTTTTTTTTTGTTTTGTTTTGTTTTGTTTTTTTTGTTTTTTTTGGCAGAAGTTGGTATTGAACTCAGGCCCTTGTACTTGCCAGACAAGCACGTATTTTACTGAGCCATCTTCCTGGCCAAACTCAGGACCTTATGCTTTCCAGGCAGGCACTTATGCCACTGAGCTATATCCCCAACCCATGTTACTGAGTTTTTTGCTTGTCTTTCTGGATTTATCTTTCATGTATACAGAGCCACTTGGCTTAAATATGTGCTCAAGTGCTCGAGGGCAGATCCCAGGAGATGAACACAACAAAACCAGAAAAATGGAACCTGATCCCAACATTTTGTTTTCCTAAACCAAATTTGCTCTCAAGTGAATATGAATATGTATTCACACTTTAGTGAAGACAAGCATGTTTTCCTTCAGAGCTCCTCAGAATTAGTTTGCTTAAACATCAAACTTTTCTCCAAAACAAACTTAAAGTCAGCTTTTTAAAATTCTCTGCCTCGGTTAAGCGTGTTACTTGACTGGAGATATGCTCACCCCCATAGTCCGACTCAAACCAATCCCTTGTGTTTGCTGCCAGGGACTACAGTTCAAAATATTTATTTTCTCTCTAAGAACTTCCCATTACTGTCACAAATAACTTTACCTCTTCTGAGATGGAAGACAGAAGAAATAATTTCTAACGTCCCCAAATGGAGTCTTCGCTCACATATAAAATTTCAATTATAGGGCCGGGGAGGCAGCTCAGTGGAATAAGCGCTTCCCTGGCAAATGCAAGGGCCTGAGTTCAATCCCCGGTTCCAAAAAAAAAATTTTTTTTTCAATTATATACAGTAAACTAGCAAATCTAAATTATAATTGATTTTTTTTAATTTATTTTGCAGAATCAGGGATTGAATTCAGGCCCTTGCATTTGCCAGGGAAGGCAAAAAGGTTTTTTTTTTTTTGGCAGCCTGAAGATGCCTTGAGGGCATTTCTGGTTTCCTGTGAGAAACTTGGTTCTAACCAGAGCATCTTGACCCTGACTGCTTTTTTTTTTTTTTTGCCATAGTTTTATTGATAAACAAATAACAATGAGACAGTTTCAAATCAAATCGCTAGGACAGTTTCAATAATTAACACATTGCATACATTCTTCCTAGTGGTTAATTGCTGTACAAGATGCGGACTTGATATCCTATTTACAAACACCATTAGAACAAATCATTCTATTCATTAAGAGAATGTAACTATATATCTATCCCAACCACTTTGAATACACAGATACAAAATGGACATTCATCTGTATACCCTTTTTTTGTTAAGTTCCATTATTTGAATATTATAGGTGTGTAAACTCAGCAAAATATTCTAAAAGAGTCCAGTAGCCCATAATAGTATTGGGTCTTCCGCTTAACTGGCAATGTCAGAAATTGTTGACCTGAGTCCCCTACAGCTCAATATAACAGCATGACTTTATTTCTTATATTTCATTTTTATACTTTTCTTCTGGATGATTAAGACCAAGGTAAAGCAGGACCTATGCAACAAGAGTTGTAGCTTTTGGGTCTGATAAGGTCAGTGAAATCCCCTCAGGATTTTTTTTTTAATTTTTTTTTTTTTAATTTTTATTTTGTGTGTGTGGCCAGCTCAGCCCACCAGAGAGCAGG